CCTCAATACTATGTCATCTTGCCCTGGCTGAAGAAACACAACCCAGTTATTTCGTGGCGAGTGGTGTGGATGAGAATTGGGATAAGTTAGGATAAAGTATGTGTACAGGAGTGTTTACAAGTTGTGTTGCCCCTTCAGATTAATGCAATTTCAACAAAAGAAGAACTTGAGCCAGATCGGGACATCCTGAAGAAATATAATGACTTGACTGAAGCATTTAACACGAAGAAGGCCACCAAATTACCCTCTCATTTTGAGTATGATTGTGCAATTGAACTATTACCTGGAACAACACCCCTTCAGGAAGAATTTTCCCTTTATCCCAAACAGAAACAGAAACTATAAACACTTATATTGTGGAGGAACTTAAGAAGGGGTTCATACATCACTCTATGTCATCTGCATCAGCTGGCTTCTTCTTCATGGGTAAGAAATATGGTGGATTATGCCCTTGTATTGACAACAGGGGGCACAATAAAATTACAGTTAAATACCAGTACCCTGTCCTTCTAGTCCCAGCTGCTCTGGAACAGTTACGCACAGCTAAATACTTCACAAAGCTCAATCTGCCAAGGAGGGTCACAAGTGGAAAATGGCTTTCTTTACCAGTAAAGGCCACTATGAATACCTCATTATGCTCTTCGGACTGGCAAACAGTCCTTCTGTGTTCCAGGCCTTTATCAATCACAATTTCAGAGATATGCCCAAACAATGGCTCATTATCTTCATAGACGATAATCTGATCTACTCCAACTCCCTCGAAAAACTTGTCGGTCATGTAAGGGCAGTACATCAATGATTAATTGAGCATCAGTTATTTGCAAAACTGGAGAAATGTGAATTCCACCAAACATCTATCACTTTCCTGGGATATATCATTGGCACAGAGGGCGTGGCTATGGTCGAACAAAAGGTACAAGCTGCGTAAAAATGGCCCAAACCCAGAACAATCAAGGAACTACAAAGATTTCTAGGCTTCGCTAACTTCTAACGACGCCTCATCTGAAATTTCAGCACGGTAGCTTCTCCACTCACAAACCTGACAGGGGGGTGGGGGAATCCCTAATCAAGTGGAATGATGCTGCAGAAGGAGTCTTCATTAAATTTAAAAATTGCTTTGCAACAGCACCCATTCTTAATCACCCCAATCCTGACTTACCATTCACTGTGGAAATTGACTCATCTAATACAGGCATAGGCAAGGTTTCCACACCAAATATCACCCATGGGCTTTCTTATCCCATAAACTATATGGGTATATGGGTAACCGAGGACTTCTGGCTATGAAGGCCGCCATGGAAGAGTGGAGACACTGGTTAGAGGGAGCAAAACACAGATTTACGTTAATCACAGACCACAAAAATCTAGAGTATTTACATTCAGCTAAAAGACCTTATCCCAGGCAGGCTAGATGGGCTTTATTTTTTACCCGGTTTGATTTCAATGCACATATATCCCAGGCTACAAGAACACTAAAGCAGATGTACTATCCTAACTATTTGAAGAGGACGTTGTAGAGCAAAAGGATGAACCAATCATAAAAGATTCTTTTGTTTTGGCACCTTTTCTCTGACACATGACAACCAAAATCGCTCAGGCACAAGACCAACAACCACGCCCACGGAACTCCTTAGCCGAAAACACTTTTATTCCAACCACCATCCGAGAGCAAATCCTCAAAGAAATTCATTCAAATGCCAGCTCCGGACACCCTGGCATAAGCGGAACAATGGATCTAGTACAAAATAAGTATTAGTGGCCCAACATGCTATCTGACATCACCACGTTTATCAACAACTGCAGTTCCTGTAATATGCACAAACACTCACGAAGATTACTATTACAACCCTCACCCATTGCTCACAGACCATGGTCCCATATCGCTATTGATTTCATAACAGATCTCCCTATATCTCAAGGTAACACAAACATACTAACCATAATCAATAGATTTTCTAAAGCATGCTGACTCATCTCCATTCCCAAATTACCCGCGGCTCTAGAAACAGCAGAATTGCTATGCAATGATGTCTTCCATTTCTATGGGATGCCAGAGGACATTGTATCAGACAGGGGGCCCCAATTCACTTCAAGAGTCTGGTTGTCAATTTTCAAGAGCCTCAACGTTAACATTAGTTTAACTTCTTTATTCTGGGCTGAATATGCACAAAATTCAAAAAAGTCAATGACTGGCTACAACGCAGCAAGAACACTTGGAATTTAGCACACACACATTTATTACGAGTCATTAGAAGATTTAGAGAACAGTGGATCACTGTCACCACCCCGCTCCAGCATACACACCAGGACAAAGGGTATGGTGTCCACCCTTGACCTCCGAAAGAAGTTACCCTGCAGGAAACTCAGCCCCAGGTACGTGGGTCCTTTCAAAATTAACAGACAGATTACTTAAGTTTCATAATCGCCTTGAATTAGCCACTAGTTACCGCATCTCTCCCACTTTTCATGTATCACTACTCAAACCTGCTGCTGGTCCTGTGGAGGAGGAGAGGGAGTTGGCAGATGGTGTACGGGGTCCCCCACCATCATCGTTGATGGTGAGGAAGCCTATCAGGTGCATGACATCCTGAATTCCAGACATCGGGGTGGGACACTACAATACCTGGTAGATTGGGAGGGGTACGGTCCAGAGGACAGATTCTGGGTCAATAGAGCAGATATTCTGGCCCCTACCGTACTACAGAAGTTTCATTAAGATCACCCGAAAAATGCCGGCCCCTTGCCCCCCGTGGAAGACCCAGATGCCGCTTTCTCACATTAGGAGCCGTTTGCAAAGGGGGGCTCTGTCATTGACTTGGTCCCAGCAATTCCCCTCACTAACCCAGAATTCACAGTATCTGGCACTGATTACCTTGCACCTGATCCTCATTCCTACACACACATATAAGCAGGTCTCACTCGCCTCTCATTGCGTAGTCTTGTTTTGCCCTGCATAATTTCTGAATGTTATTCCTTGCCTTCTGATTTTTCTCTCATTGACAACCCAGTCTGTTTACTGACCCTGTCTCATCTCGCCACCTACCCAGACCTTTGCCTGCTATTGGACTCCGATTGTCTGCTGCCAGCCCCGATCTCAGCCTGTACCCTGATGCCGAACATTATCTGCCCATCTTTGATCTTGTCTCTTCCTCCTATGCACTTGAGTATAGAGTGGAGGAACTATGACGTCAATTTGTATGCAAAAACCCGGAAGCGAGTTAGCATTTTAGCACTTCCGGTTCCCTTGTCCCAAAGTCAATAGGTTTTTTGAATAGGGTTTCAGTAAAATTGCTTAAATAAGGTCTGTGGCAAACACAAATTCAAGATATTTTCACGTTTTGTTCAAAGACATAAAACACATCAGTTACAGCACACTTTTGAATTTTTAATTCGGCCATACTTCTTTAAAAAGACATATGCTGGTCTTGCTGGGATTTGGGTGCTATGCTGGTGACCAGCATGAAATGCTGAAATGCATGAAATGCTGGTCACCAGTATGAGATGCTGCTGGGATGCTGGCGCTGGTATGCTAGTGACCAGCAATTCCATGCTGGTCACCAGCACCAAAACACAACATATGCTGGTCTTGCGGGGATTTGGGTGCTATGCTGGTGACCAGCATGAAATGCTGGTGCTGGGATGCTAGTCACCAGTATGAGATGCTGCTGGGATGCTGGCGCTGGTATGCTAGTGACCAGCAATCCCATGCTGGTCACCAGCATCCCATGCTGGTCACCAGCACCAAAACACAACATATACTGGTCTTGCTGGGATTTGGGTGCTATGCTGGTGACCAGCATGGAATGCTGGTGCTGGCAATCCCATGCTGGTCACTGATAGCAAATTACATCTGGCCCAGATATGGCCCACATCCCCCACTTTCTTCTGGCCCACATACAGCGCGGAATGACGGCGATGACTCAACCTGATTGTGGCTGTCATAAGGATCCAAAAGTCAGCCACAACTGAACCAGATCTGGGCCAATATCTCAGAAAAAGCTTGGTCCATATCTGGGCCAGATGTGGCCCATACATTTTCTTAGATCTGGCCCAGCTGCGGCCCATGCAAATTCTGAAATCTGGCCCAGCTGCGGCCCATGCAGTTTCTCAGATCTGGCCCAGATGCGGCCCATGCAATTTCACAGATCTGGCCCAGATCTTGTTCAGTTGCGGCTGACTTTTGGGTTAGATGTGGCTGACATCTACATTTGGTAGCTATATAAATCACATTAAAAGGAATGCTTAGTTTAAATTGCTTTATTTTAAAAAAATTGCTTCAAAGGAAGCATATAAATTGATAAATACAAATATATAATTTATATAAATTATATAAATAGATGCATACAAAAAAAACAACAACAGATTGATCAATGCAATACATATAAATATATGAATAAGATAAAGAAATGCATACAGAATTATCACAAATTAAATGCAAATAAATATATATAAAAGTTAAAATTAGGTAAGTGGATATACAGAATAAGAAGAACATACAAACACAAATGTATATCCAAATTAGATAAATAGATCCAGAAAAAAACCGGAAAAAAAAAAAAATATATATATATATATATATATATTTTTTTTTTTTTTTTATAAAATGCATATTAATTAAATTAACAAATATTTTATAACCATATAACTAGAACCAATAATTAAAAAAGATATATAAAGGGCAATCCAAAAACAAGATCAGAGGCGAGGCAAGGGTCAAATAAACAAATGATAAACAGAAACAAGATAAACAAGTACAAGTAGACAGAACAAACACAGAAATCACATATTTAACAAAAACATATTATTTAAAAAATTACAATGAAAAAGAATTTGTCTGATGAAGAGCCGGCGGCTCGAAACGTTACACGCTCTGTGTCAGCCTTTTTAATTTAATAAATTTGTATTTTTGGAGCCTTGGTGTTGCCGCCTTTGATTTACATTAAATAATTACAATTAAATATTTATTAGCATCTACCCAGAACCAAAATTTTTTTTTTAAATTAAATAAACTGAAAATCCAACAGGGCAGTCCAAGAGTGAGGTCAGGGGCAAGCAAGGGTCAAAGCCAAAAAAAAAACAGTCCAATGCAAAACATCCTGAAAATCGGAGAAGACAACAATTAAAAGGTGCTGTTTGCAGAGTACATACAGACACAACTCGATTAAAATTAAGGACTTTTAAGCACTTTTTTAAACACCTATTTTTATTTTTAAGACTGACAAGCAACGTATTGAACACCTGAAATGTATTCTCAGCAATACATAAAAACATTCCATAGGAACTACCTATCAATATATAAAAAATAAAAAATAATATTAATATAATATTTCATAGTATTAAACCTATTTTAAATGTGCTTGTGAAATTATTTTTTTTATGTTTTTGTAGATGGAAAGAGAACTGAAAATTAAATTACATTAAATTAAAGGACTAGAAATACTATTATATTGCTAAAATAAAACAAATTTTAGTAAATAATACTAATACAGAGTAAAAGTACATGGTACTATTTTAGCTAGTTACATTTGGAAAAAAAAAATCTGATTTTCAATACGGACCTTTTTTAAGTGTAAACTTGTTTGAATGGTTTAATTGTTTAATTACAAGACGACATAAAAAGGAATTTGCACTAACAAAGGAAGTTTATTTCCTTTAAGGAAGTTTAGTATATTTTCAAGCCTAGGAAGGTTTTATACTTCCTTATAATATTATTAATATTATAAAATATTTGAAATATTTTTTTACATTTTCTACATTTTTCAAAGCAGTGTTTTAAGAGCCTTATTGTTTATTTTGATAAATGTAATAACAGATTGCTTTGACCTGTAATGCCTGTACAATAAGGCTTTAAGACAGACTATGTATAACGCTTTACTTTTTCTTTGACGCTTTAAGACAGACTATGTATAAATCATACAAATACCTCATTCAAAAACGTTTCTAGCATACCAACCCCGCGACGTCAGACACAGCAATATTCCAAGATGGGGGTGCCTTTGTGATAAAAGCTCTAGTAAAACATGCCCTTTTCATCAAAATTGTTACATTAATCAAGTTTGGTTAATATATTTTTTATTAAATCAGAAAGCAATTTACGAAATAATGTAAACTCGATTGACTGCATCACTTCTACTACAAGACACTGGGAAGAATTTTTGCTAGGCGATGTAGGAAGATCTGACACTCAAAGTTTTCTCCATCAATTCATAGTCTGAAATCTTGGTAATTAGTGAAAGTACCTTTGAACTGACCGCAGATCTTGATGTAGTCTTTCTTGATCTGGTCTTCTCCACTTTCGATCCTTCCCTGGGTTAATCTTTACAAGGAACCTGCTGAATGGAAAAAAAAAATACTTAGTGATAAAAACCTGGACTATATCATGCTCTAAAATATTTGAAATAAAAGCAACATAAAAGGACAAGCTTGTGGTGGAGGTTTGCTAGAAAAATATGTGGGAGAGGATGTTGTGTGTGAGTCAGACTGAGACAGACTGTTGTATGAATGTGTGTTTTTGAGTGTATGAATGTGAGAATGCATTCACAAGAGTGTGTGTTAGTTTGAGGATTTTGCTATTTTAAATATTAGGGTCCAACAGAGTAATTTGTTTAGTTAAGTTGTTTAAAATTATTTTCATTGATTAAATACTTGCCCATATATAGATGTAAAGAATAACCAAAAGAAATAATGCATTAAAATGTCATTATATTTTATATTCAATCTGCAAATCATTTGTTGTGAAATTTGAATGACTTCCATTCAGTATATGAATAAAATAAAATTAGAATAAGAATAAAACAATAGAACTCTATAAAAAATACTTCCTATCAAAATAAAGCAGGTGCTTTTACCTTAAGGAACTTTATTAGTATGGTTCCCTGCTTCCAGTTAGTTCAACTTCAGATACCTCCATAATCTGTACTCTGGTGCTTCATTTGGTTCTTGACTTAAGGCTGATTTATACTTCTGCGTCAAACGCCGGCGTATGCTATGGCGCTGACGCATAGCCCTTCGCCGTGGCCGTCACTGACGTGCACTTCTCAAAAAATGTAACTACACGTCGCAACGACGCCTAGCATAAGCTCTGTGATTGGTCGGCTTGGTAGCGCTGACGAGTCTGGGCGGGACCGAGAGCAGCGCGAATGTGAGCGAGCGATTGTTTACAAGTGTGGAGTACCGTGAAGGAGCTCCGGATGGAAAGTTTTGTTTTGTGTTTACCTCATAGTTAAAGTTGTTGTACGTCCACCAGTTCCTGCCTCAAAATGAGCGAGTTTGAGCCACTTGTACATCCCGGAAGTGTTCAGGAAAAGTAAAAAAGTAGCGAAGAAACTCGACACAGAGGAACATTTAAACCTCACTGCCAACTAGCGTTTCAGAAGTGTTAATGCAGACCGACAAAGACAGCGCGCAGAAGTATAAATGCACAGCCACGCGCGTTGCATGCGCCGTTGGTTACGCCGGTCCCCTGACGCAGAAGTATAAATCAGGCTTTAAGAGTAACTGGTGTCGCATTCCAGGTCCATCACAATCTGAGCTAAAAGGACAATATGACAAAAGACAAGACAAATATGAATACACATAACATACAGAATAAAACATTTAAAGATATAGTTTACTATTCTGCCACCATTTATTCATCCTCTACTTGTTTCAAAGCAGTTTGAATCTGTTAAACACTAAAGCAGATATTTTGAAGAATGTTAGAAACCTGTAACTATTGATTAACATAGTAGGAAAAACTGGGTTTGTGTTCATTCATTTTTTTCAGCTTCATCCCTTTATTAATCTGGGGTCACCAAAGTGGAATGAACAGTCAACTTATCCAGCATGTTTTACGCAGCAGATACTCTTCCAGCTGCAACACATCACTGGGAAAAACCCATACACTCTCATTTACACACATTCACTAAGGACAATTTAGTTTACCCAATTCACCTGTACCGCATGTCTTGTGGGGGAAACAGGAGCACCCGGAGGAAACCCACGCCAACACGGGGAGAACATACAAACTTCACACAGAAATGCCAACTGACCCAGCCGAGGCTCGAACCAGAAACATTTTTGCTGGAAGGCAACAGAGCTATCCACTGTGCACCGCACCACCTGAGTTTATGTTCAACAGAACAAAAAAAAATATTTTGAAACAAGTGGAGGATAAAAGATGTCATTATTTTTGGGTGAACTATCCCTTTAAAATTTAAGTGTCAAGCATTAGTCTTAAAAACTTATGTATCACTACAGGAAAAAAAAATCAAGTACCTCTTGTGAACAAGCAAAATCATTATGCCATTGTTTTCAATGGTTTTCTTTTACATTTTTCACTCTGAAATTATAACTTAAACATGCGATCCAAGGTAAATTAATCTACTTTTAACATAAAATAAAAAGATAAGATAAAAATAAGTTACGTCAACAGACTGTGTTTTTCCAGCTCACCAATACTTTCAAATTTTACATTTTCAGAAAACAATTCAATAAATTACCTTGTGGAAACATTTAGACTTTCTTTCAAATTTGATTTTTTTTAATAAAAGATATTTTAAATAAGCTATGACCTCACACAGTGATAAAATAGCAGCAATAAATCTTGTAATATTTTAATAATAAATAAAACATAAAATATAGTATTTCAGTTCCCAACAACCAGTCTGACATATACAAGTTACAAAATATTTACAATATTGTACCTGGTGTGCTTGATGATGAAGTCAAACAATTAGTAATGCACTGATGTGAGAGTTGTCCTTTCCTTCAGCTTGCATCCTTGCATGATTCCTTTCTTTTCTGTAACAAATTAATACAATACAATCAATTTATAAAAATATTATTTTTACTTGCCACAAAACCATTTGTTTGGACTTGATACATATGTACAAGATTAATGGTGCAATTCAGTTTCCAGGCTGTTTTAAAGTAATATAAGATATGGATTTTAAGCTTATTTAACACAATTGATTTTATTTTTTAACAAGGTTTAACATTTCATAACACACTTAGCCTTCTTTTTTAGCTAATTAATTTCCTTTACAAGTCATTTAACACATTCTGTTTCAACTGTGGATTTTTTTTTCAAACGTTTTGGCTTTAAATTTTTTTTAATGCAGACCAGTCTCAACAGTGGCCAGCTTGATAAACTTGATAAAACACACATTCACAAGCAAATCAAGATCATTAGGATTAACGTTACCAAAAAGAGACTGTTCGTTCAGTGTTTGAGCTAAAACCAGTAACGTTACAAAAGCAGAATTCGGCACCTATTACAACTGTATAAAACGGACAGCATATGATTCATTCATTCAAGCTCCCGTTTCGACGCTGTTCTTCATATAACACGTCTTATTGATCATTTAATTGGGAATGACGAGCGTAAAAGGACAATTGTAACTTAAATGAATTCGTTAAAACCCCGAGCACAATCAACTTAACAGATTAAGTTGAATTGACGGCTGCCATCATTCTTAGCCGTTTTTAGCCATATTATCCACATATAAGTTACAGTTTTATCATTATTCAAAACAGGGGCTTTTCTAACTAATAAAAACATTACCTGACGACAAATATCTTACAAATATGATTTTAAAATAATAACTTACCCGATATAAAGAAGAAGATGAAATGGCGGACTTGACTTCACTTCCTCGTTTGAAAAAATTAACCGTCATTCACGAGGCTCCGCCCACTCCACCGTAATGCAAGGATGAAGCGAAACACATATTCGCCACCAGGGGGCAGTTTATGATTATGTTTTTAAATATATATATATATATATATATATATATATATATATATATATATATATATATATATATATATATATATATATATATATATTAGGGTAAGGGTAATTAGGCAAGTTATTTTATAACAATGATTCGTTCTGAAACTGTCGAAAAAATATATAGCTTAAAGGGGTTAATAATTTTGACCTTAAAACACTTTAAAAAAAATTAAAAACTGCTTTTATACTAGTCGAAGACTTTCTCCAGAAGAAAAAATATTATCAGACATGCTGTAAACATGTCCTTGCTCTGTTATGTAACATGCTGTAATTCTAGAATATTTACTGTTATTTTTAATATTCAGTAGCTTGTTATATAAAAACTATAACACTTTAAGATATATTTACAATCAACTAATTGCTAATTAACATGCTTATTGATAGCATATTGTCTATAAAATTTGTTGACGCTGTTACAGGTGCACACACACAGAACCAGGATAGACTTTTGGGTCTTTCTATGTTGAGTTTGCATGTTGTTTCTGTTGGTTTCCTCCAGTTTCTTCCATAGTGCAAAAATTTGAAGTATAAGTGAATTTTGGATAAACTAAATTTGCTGTAGTTTATGATTAAGATAATGTGTGGTGTTTCCCTGCACTGAGGATTGTACCCTCAGGGCTGTGTTGCAGAAGCATTAGTATCTGATTGCAGACTTGCATATGCAAGCTGAGACACACAGTTTGACATGCAATGTCAGAAACAATGCACTCAAATAGAGCTAGTGACATCAAAGTGAGGGGTAGGGTTAGGAGCGGGGTTAGGTGTGCGCATTAAAATTGGTCAGATTTATTTTTATTATTTTTTTGTGTTCTGTAGAATAAGTAAATAAAACTTTGTTTTGTTTACAAAGATCAGCTTATTCACGAACACATACATGTTATTCACATTCTACTGCTCAGTTCTCTGACATTTTTTTTTCTATATAGTTATTTTATTCCTAAACAAAACATTTATGTCTATTTAATATTCAAATTAAATAAAAAAAGAACAATGTTGTATGTGGCATTTAATCAAAGAAAATCATTATAAAAATGTAGAATTGCAAAAAATAACACCAAGAAAACAGCACTTTAATTCAGCATTATTAGATTATGAATTAATTTGTAAAATTGTTCATTAAAAAGTAGTACTAATAGCAAATTAAATCCACCCAGTAGGTGGCGGTAGGGCACTGTGTTAATTCATTCAAATGGAACTGAACAAAACATTAATGGATCAAAACATAATAAATGATAAAACTCATTGCATTTATAGACATTTATAAACATACCAGGTAATATGAAAAAAAAAGAATTTTACTCATGCTGGAACATTTACATATAACAGATAATATAAATTATATTCATAGCAGCCTTAAAGTAAAAATAAATCCATTATTGAGGAAATAAACTGAATTAATATGTGATAAGGTTACAAACATATACTTTCCCTGATAAGCAATAGCTTATTCCTATTCTTAATAACCTAAAGAATCATTTTCAATCTCAGAAAGTCTTATTTAGAACATGCAATGTTATTATTTTCAGAGAAGGTGTAGCGCTCTCACTGCCTGATGAGGGACAATAATGTTAATAAAACACAGGAAACACAGAACTGCTGATGCTTCACATCAGAGTCTGTGTTTTGTTTGAGCAGCAAGCCGCTCCCACTCATTAGGTATGCAGTCCACAGGCAGAAGTAGCCAATCGGAAAAATGTAAATCCTTGCATCACATTACATTAATTTACAATATTTATTTTCTATTTTCTACTTCATAAAATGAAAGTGTACAGACTTAGAAAGACAAATTAACTTTGATTTTCAATTTCTAATAATTTGTAACCACTTCAAAGGCTCCCGTTCATTTATAGTTAAACCGGAACTAAAAATACACAACACGCACTACACTCGATGTGTCACACACGGGCCACATCTGGCCCACATACAGCAGGCCACAACTCACACTACACCCGGTGTGTCACACACGGGCCATATCTGGCCCACATACGGCAGGCCACAACTCACACTACACCCGGGGTGTCACACACGGGCCACATCTGGCCCACATACAGCAGGCCACAACTCACACTACACCCGGTGTGACACATACGGGCCACATCTGGCCCATATGTCTCCTGCCATTGCCAGAAGTGAGCCATATGTGCCTTAGTTGGCCCAGATGTGGCCCAGAACTGTATGCTATCTGGGTGGTAGTTTTGTCTTGCTTGTCCACCAAACATAGACCAGCATCACCAGC